AATTAAACTGCACACACAATGTCGAAATAAAGCTGTCAACTGAGACGGCTGTTACTGCTAACTTCCGTACTAAACAATGTTGATTCAACAAACTGTTCATAGGATGAGATAATGACCATGAGTCAAGTACTTCTAGTGTTCAGTAACAGAAAGAAGTTAGTGATTCCGGAGATAAAGAAACTGTGCGCAAATTATACTTCTCCCTCGTCCATCTCACGGTTTGAATATAAATAAATAAAAAAATGAATAGCATATTTTTGTCCTCTCTGTGTCTCGTTTCCCCCACTGATCAGCGAGTTTGGATCCAGTCCCCTACTTCCAACGAGCCTTGGCCTCAACGAGTTGTCGTTAATGATACATAGGGGGCCGAGCACGGCCCACGGCACATACAGTTCGCTCGCTCTTCTTCTGTCACGCTCTGTGACGAATTGACGCGATTTTCTTTTGTTCTCCGTGGCTTTCGTGAAGGAAAAGTCAAAGAAAAGGGTTCGCTTTCTAATTAAATATGTATACTCTGTGGAAGGTACTACGTAAAGGTTGACGGACAGTATTATGCTGTTTGGGTTTACAAGTTCGGATGTCAATAATAATTGTTTTAAATTAATTGTATTTCGTGTTTTATCTCCATACATTTAGGAGTTATTTGTTAAGTATTTTTCGTACATGAAACAATTGAGTGAAAAAAAGAATACTGCAGTCGCAATTTTTCATGCTTTCGAATAGGCATGCAGAAAAAATCAAAGAAAACGGTGTAGTTAGTACTTACTGTAGTAGACGTATTTATAGCAACACCCATTCAATCAATACACGATGTTAACTCCCCGATAGTAGTCAGTGTTATTGTGTTAGAATGTCTTACGTCAACACTAATTGTAAGCAATATCGAGCAAACACGATGTTCTATATAAAAAATCATGTTTTAAAATGTGAATAATTTTGCTATATGAAATAACACAGGCTATTTATTTCAATTATGGTAATTTAATTGGTACTCGACAAATGAGAATAGGTGTAACAACACAATAAAATATTTGCATTTTTTACTCAAGATCAAAACTGTAATTATTTCTGGACTTTTCTCGGGTTCCTGAATGTAAACCAAAACAATATACATATCCCACATGGCTGCTCGGCGTTTTCTGTCAATTTCTGCGCCTTTTGGACATTAGTAACATATATTACACCATGACTTTTTGAACCTACAATGAAGGTCGGGGGACTAGACTAGACGTTAAACCGCCGTACACAATCACATGAGGCATTCATGTCTCGTACATATCTCGGAGCTGGTGGTTGGCACGTTTCTAGAGGATTAAGTTTCGCGCAACCCTCAACACAGGCGCAAAAAATGAGGCCACCACAAAATGCTAAAAGTCATAATCTCACGAAAAAGAGAGTGGATGTGTGCATACTGCTAACGACTATAAAAAGAGAAATACCGCGGCAATAAAAACGTACATTTGGTAACATTTTATTCCGACAGTGTATTCCCTTGGATTATCATTATCAAAAATGTGTAGAGGGAAAATATACAAGTTGCGTACATTTTCTTGAGCTCTCGAATCACTATCTCTTCTTGCTCCATAATCCGCATGATAATAATGGCGAGCTGCTCCAAAAGCAAAGTTGATATATTTACACTCTTTATTGACCGCTAGAATGTGGCAAGCCAGGAGCTAGTAGTGTAATGCAATACTATATTTTCATTATTTAATAACACAGTAAACGTGATTTTTTAGATAGCTATTTGTCAAAAGTGAGAGTCGATTTTGACACGGCAGAAGCGTAACTGTCCTGCTCTTCATTTCTTTCTCTCGTCTCCTCTCTTTCAAACACAACAACACACACTCTCGTTCCGCGCCGCCGTCCTCAGTTCTCGACCTGTCGCCCTGCATCACAACGGTAACGCCCAGCAACAGTAACGCAAAAGTAACTAGTAGTGCCACAGAATGGCGCAGACTTTCCCGTATTAGTTTTCTATTTCCTTTGGTCTCGGCTTGCTATACCAACTTGCCACGTACTCTTGTCGCCCGAACTATATATATATATTTTTTAAAAATCTTAAGTTTTCGATTTCCTAATAATAGAACGTAAATATTATTTTATTTATTTAAATTATTTTTAAATATTAAAGAACAGTAATACCTCGTCCTAAATTACAGTTTCCTTTAAAAGTTTTGGAGCCGCTTTTAAGAAAATGTCGCTTAAACGCTACTCTAAATTTGAAATTTGATACTATTTTTTCACAGAAAATGTTTGAGCTTTTGAAAAAGTTCATTCGAAACCATTTGAAGCACATTATCGCACAAATAAAATAGTCTTTACAAATTGCTGGAAATATGCGCCGCGAGAGATCTCTTTAAAAAATTACATTTTTACTGTTCATTCGAAAAATTTGAAGAAATAGTTTGGAGCTGTTTTTGAGAAAATGACGTTTGAGTGTTTCAGAAAATGCGGAATTTTCAGCTAGTTTTCACTGAAAACTTGAGTTTTCGAAAACTTGAGTTGACATTATTTAAAGCACATGAACTCATAAATATAATATTGTGTACAAATCGCCGCTAATGTAAATATTATCGACGTGAGAAACACGACAAAAAATTAAATTTTTGTAATTTTTGAAAAAACAAAAGAATATAGCAATATGACATTTATGTCTTCTCATAGAGTACATTTATACTATCCCTTCTAAACGTTTAAAGGAAAAATTTGGGGGCGTTTCTTGAAAATTTTGTTTTTGTAATATTTTAAAATTGCACATATTGCTCGCAATATTGCCCGAAAACTACTAAAATAAAAAAAATACATGAAAATTTTTTTCTTGAAACTTTTCGAATGGATAGTGTTAACTTCTTTCTTTAATATGAAATATAGTTCATTTCGGGGTATTTTCTTCTTTTTTCAAAAATTAACCAAATATAGTTTTTTGAAAGATCTCTCACGCCTTTAATATGCACATTCCGAGTGATTTGTAAACACTATTGCATTAGTGAGTTAACGTTATTCAAATGATTTCAAGTTTTTCGAAAACTCAAAAATTATTTGAGAAAAGACCTTCAAATTTCGCATTTATACTTACGCTTAAACGCCATTTTCTTAAAAACGGAACCACATTTTTCAATGAAAATTGCTATTTAGGACCAAGTTTTACTCGTTGTTATATTATTCTTAAAGAAACAATTCAATTTTGCTTTTAGGCAACCGAATAATTAAAAAAAAATTAAAAATGTACTTTCGGCGACGATAGATGGGAGCAAACAAGAGTAGGAGCCAAGCCCGAATACGTAGCCTCGACCAAAGTAAATAGAAAAATAATATGAGAAAGTCTGTGCCATTCTGCAGCACCACTATTTTACGTTTACTACAGCCACTCTGAGTATTAATAAAAATTAAAATCGACAAAAAAAATCGGTACAATTTAATAGCTGAATGACGTTTATTGTTACCTCTGCTAAATGTTCACTGATAGCAAGGCATAAATTGAGAGGTTGTTTCCTATAACCTCAAATATATTAAGATTCTGTTTGGAGTAATAAGAATCGTAGAGATTCTCATTTCATTGAAAGCATATGTAATTTTGCCTGTAAATACATTTTCGTAGTGCATTCATTCAGCTGATTTATGTTTTCATTATTTTATCAAGCTTCAGTAATTAAATGTTTATCTTGGAGTAATGCATGGCTCACAACATTTGGTTGACACAAACACTTAATTTTTACATCCTTTTCCTAAAAGTAGTAATAAATCGTAATACATAGCCATTCTTCAGACCTGCAATATTATATAAAATATTATTTTCAATGAATGAAAAAACACAAATACCAAATCATACAAAGACAATATAAAAAGTATGCTCATTAAAAAATTCTATGAATTTACTGAGATCTTAATGAGATCACCATGAGAATGAGAAAATATTTACTGAAAATGTACGGATCTCATGGTTTAGGATATGAGATCGATTGTTTTCCAATCGCGAAACTGTATATGTTACATAACCAACACATACTTCGAATAGCCATGTTCCAATAATTACTCATGAAATAAATATATATTTAATATTAGTTAAGGAAATGTTATTTTGCATATGTATTTACATACATTTTAGAGCAAAAACCTACAGTGGATTATCAATTTTTTGGATAGTAATTAAAACACTGTGGTTTTTAGAATCTGCAACTGTTCACATATTGTTTAAAAGTCAACTTTAAAAATTGTTTGAGAAACTTTTGTCTGTTATCTCTAGTACTTCCCTATAATACTTTTATAGCCATGCTTTATAACCGTCAATTCCTAATATTTATAAAAATTACATTTCACATTGTTTCAATTGCAGTAACATTTTTTTGATATGTATAAGTTGCAGAATTAAAGTAATATATGCTGATTTGTAACAAATTAGTAGACTGGAATATAAAAATGCAATGAGAAAAGTGGAAGACATAATGCACATTTTGAAAAATGTATCTCTTATTAGAAAATTATCAAATGAAACAAAACATTATATCCATTAATTAATACATGGGAATTGTACACATAACTAGTATTTTTAATATGCACATTAGAAACATACATTTCATCATTGTTAATGTTTTACAATTACATTTCAATGCAAATTATTTCTTAATTTACATTCAAACAATTATACGATGATCACCTTAGGCAGTGCTCTAAATATTACACTGTTCCTTCTCTATGACACAAATTGATGAAAAACGTAAATATATGTATTCTTAAACATGCATATATGTATTATACGTTTTTTATTAAAATATATTTTTACAACAGAACGGTAGCCCTGTTGTGCAATAATTAGCAAAATGTTGCGTATCAAAAGTCTTTTAACAAATTATGTCAAGGGGCAGGGACATGCACTCTAAAGAGGTAGTCCTGGGAACATTTAATTTTTTCTCTGCAGGTTATGTCAGGTTGTTGACCTTCTGGACGTGCAGAATTAAAATGTTTTTATTGTTATAGTTTTTTTGGTTTAATGATTTTATTTATTCGTCCTTCTGATCATATTTTCGGGCTTTCAGTATAGTATTCGCATGAACCTGGTAGGAAAACGGAATATGTGGTCCTAAGCCCAAACCTTCCTTCAGTTTCCAACCAATTGCTAAAATATTTTGCTTGTTATGAGCATCTTTAGTCCAAATAGCTATTTTGTCGCATCTGGGACGAATGTTAACCACAGCTCCACAAATATCACCGCCGTAATGGAAAAAGGACTCACCGACCATTAACATTAATGTCTCAAGCCACAGATAGTCCAGTTGAAGTAACCTGTTTCGTCGTGGAAGAATCATAAGCCAACGTCCACCACGCCGGTTTGCCTTATCCTCCCACATGGGAGTGATTCCTTCTTTAAAGACGCAATAATCGCAGCCGTGAGACAAGCGGCTGGCAGGTTTCACGCTCGTATACACGCTCCAGAAGTCTTCCACAGTCTGGAAACTCGTTATCGCCTTCAGATTTTCGTCCCACGATTTGGTCTTGTCCGTTTCATAAAACCACCATGTCCAGGAATGTTGTAGAGGGTGTTTCTGCGCGTAACTCGGTAGCAAGCGTTTCTTATCTTCTTCTAAAGCGCCTTGACCTCGTATGACCTTCGGTGGCATCTTGCATCAAAACAATTCTCTCATTATTCTGTGTTCAACAGAAACACGCTCTCCTGACCGTCCGAAGATGTTAACATCCACAAGACAGCAACGATTCAAGGACGATCTTGTGACAACGATCTTCTATTTTATTTATTCGATCACGAGGGACGACGATATTTACACGCTTTCCTCGCGTGTTTTTTTTGACATTTGACACTCGAACGTGAGATGTAGCGCTAATTGATAGAAAATGGCATTTCACATTACCTTTAGCATAACAATTACGTCCTTGGTTTGATAACTAAATGTGACGATAAATACTTGTATTTGTTTTGTAGTCCAGTGCTTCACTTGTTGCAGCTCGAACACTTCGGAAGGCTTGGTTGTGAGTCTAAGGAGAACAGAAGTCGATCGTGTTCAAAGCGAATTTTGGAACCATTTGTCGTGATGTGTTTGAGGTTACTAGCACGCAGAATGTCCTCTCTATATTGCATGTTAAAAATATTTGGCGATCTTCTTTTTTTCATGCACACAAATGTAGTGTAAATAGTACGTGTATTAGAGATATTCGGATTGGTAAGTTTTGTCTTGATTTAATGATTATTATATTAGTATTTTGATGTAATATTAGATTTATCTAGAGAAATGACTATTATATTACAATTGTAAATAAAACATCCCAATTATTTAAAAAGCAAACACACAGAGATAATGTAGTGTAATAAGTAAATATATAAGAATTTTATTAAATTCTTTTGTGCTAAAAAGTAATTTTCGCTTACATGTACCAAAGATTAAATAGATATTTCATTATTTTGAAACAGAAGCATTCACATAATTATTGCTTCATGATTCATTTTCGCTTACATGTGCTAAACATAAAATAGATTTTTCATTATTTTGAAACAGAAGCACTCACATAATTATTGCTTCATATTTTATTGCAATTTTCCTTGAAGTCTTTTGAGGTTCTATCGACTAAGAAGGTAAATAAGGAAACATTTTAACTACCTATTTTAAACGGTAATCAAATGTTCATTTTTATTTACTTTAATTTGAAAATTCTTTGATGAAAACGTATTTAATATCCATATGAAAACAACCAGAATCAGACGCAATTTACTTCTTACTTCTCGAATGTCCTAATTGAAACCCACATAATGTTCATGAACTAATCTGCAATAAGTTTAACGTGAAATATTTGATTGAATTAGAATAAATAGTTTGGGCGTATACTACCACAGTTTTAAAACGTTTTCACCAATGTTCTTGTACTCTCGGACTAATTCATTTGATTGTTTATTAGTGAAAGAATTGCATAAATAATGTAATAAATATATTATGTACAGAATTTCAACTTTCTACAGAACTTCAAAAGTCACATTATAACTTAGTGAATGTAAAAATATATACAAAACCTGACAATCTTAAACTATTCTGATACAATTTAAATGTTGGAGTGTGGTTTGATGATTGTAACTACAGTATATTGAGACAAATGGGCAGTTAAAAATTGACCACATTAACTTATCAGTAATCTCGTAATAAGCAGAAGCATCCCTAGACACTTTTAATTACAAGAGTAAGAATTTACATACAAAAGTGCATTTTATACAAGGTTACTGCAGCTTTTATGTGTGCGTTTCACGGCAGACTCTTTTAAAACTGAATACCTACTTTTGCGGTGTATGTTTGGATGTTTCAGCGACGTGAAGGGGAAATTCATGAATAATTCATGATTCTACGTTTTTTTTATATAATGTGTCGTATTTGCATTTTTATTAAGAATGATAAGGACTTTTATTATCTTTTGCATAAATTGTATTGACAAGAATATTATTCTCAGGTATGTAGTTTGTATATATTGCAATGACAACGGACACTTGACTTTTTCAATATTTTTAACTGAACAATACAATCTCAAATTACCAGTCGTAAAATGAGTAAATTTTTTTAAGCTTCAACTTTTTCACACGTCAGAATTAAGGACTGTTAACTGTGTTGTAAAGATGGTTGTTTGGTGTATTGAAGTGGAGATACTAGCAATTTTGTGCTTGAAAATCGGGTTCTCTATGTCTGCCCGTCAGTATAGATGTGGCAGGTGTTGGATCAAGATTTAGTGAGTAAAATATTCATAACTATTTTGTTTGCACTGCAGTGTTTCGAAAGAATCTCATTTAAACCGAGACATTTTGGGTATTCAAGTATAGCTGTACGAGTGTGAAAAGTAGTGTGATTCTCAACTAAAGTTTCGATTGTTTTAAATAATTGAAACGTATATGAAAAAGAATCTTTCAAAAATGTATGCCACACAAATAAATTTAATGCGTTTGTTTCATCATATATTCATTGAAAAAATAGATTATACTGTGCCAAAGTATATGCAGGATCATCCCTATGTTTTGTCCCCATAAGTTAACTATTATTTTCTAAAAATCACCCATCAGAATTGAATTCTTAGAGCTATTAACTTTATCTCTATGTTCTTCACTTTAACTTTCTCGCGTTCCACGTCTTCGTAGTAAAATAAAGTATTATAATGCTGCGACAAAAATGGCAACTTTTCCACAGAAAAACTCGTATTCTTGACGAAATAGTGGATAAATCGTGTTCTTATATGTCATAAATTCCTCCGTCAATCACGTTCTGTGATCAGAATTCATGTTCTGTGATCCCGAAAAACCGATTGACGGTAAAACGTTCGTCCATGCGTCCATCCGTCTATCCATTTGTAGTTAAAGCCAGCGCTTAAATCGTTGAGACGATTCTCTCGAAAATTAATATTCTCCAGTCGCTCTGAACGAATCCAAGGCCGAACGAGTTTGAATATTTTGAGTTTTGATGGTACTTTACATGGAGTCTAAAGTAAATTTTAATTTTTTTCAAACATGGCTCCAAATTGATTTATTAGATTTCGTCCTGGGATAGCCTAAACAACGCTTAAAATATTTGTATTTTCGCCGTGTAATTTTCGTTGAAGTACTTGCATTTTAAAAAATGTATTGTTCACAACTGTGTGAGCGTCATACTTTAAATACAATTTTGAAGATTGAGATTTTTCCCCGAATCGAATCTATTTGTCAAAGACAGCTTCAAATAAGTTCGTTGGAATGTTTCGGAAATATGAGTAGTTTTCGCGTAATCATGCGTGAAACATAGGCGATTTTTAAACAATCATTTTCTCAACAACAGCATCAAATTTTACTTTAAAGTTTCTTACGTGCATCAAAGAACGGTAAAGAAAATTGGGGCTGTACCATTTTCGGCGATCTCTCTGTATTTTCAAAAATTGTATAAAATTAACATTGCAAAAATATAATAGTCATAATAGATATTTTGTAAAAAATTGGTATTCAAAAGTAGAAATAAACATGTAATATAATTCTTTTAAAGTAGTTTTCGGGTCCATTCTGCTTGAAATTAATGCAATATATAATTCACCGAAAATCTGCGACATTTTTTATAAATGTATAATGCGCCAGGAATGGCAGGAACTCTCCGCAATGGCACCTTGCTGTTGAGAGTGCTTGCATCAGAAATTATGTTGGTAGTACAAGTTGCAGCCTGTAAAAATTAAATTACGAAATTACCACAATCATAACAGATGTTGGAAGTGTTGTCCCCTTAAATTGTTCCCCAGTGATCTGTTTGCTACCAATTAAATTAAATTAGATCGACTTTACTTCAAGCAGAAAATACGCAAAAACTACTTACTTTAAAAAAATGCACAACCTTATTTAAAGATCCAAGTTTTAAGTACAAATTTTACGAATCGCAAAATCTCTAACCTCAATGATGCATTTTGGCAAAACGAGATGAAGGAAATATTGTGCGTTGTTCTGTGGCCCGATTGTTTTGGCACTGTTCATTCATTCGCGTGGTATTGATGGGAGAAACGACAGAAAACGACAGTCAGGGCAGTCAGCCACTACAATTCTCCATCAGTCGCCAAGCTATTGTTGAAAAAGATAAAGGGAAAAACATAGAGAAAGGTGAGAAAGTCTACACACAGAAGATAGTGAGAGAGGGAAAAGAGAGAAAGATGTTACAGAAAAG